ACTGTAATCATTATTATTTGTTATTTTTCTTTTCTATTAATATTAATATCAAACCAACTATTATGCAAACTATATCAAAATAATACCAATAATAGTAATTATTCGCCTAATATCAAGCCAGCAATATTCAGAATATTCAAAATCACAGATAAGTAAAGCAAGTAAACATATAATGAAAACAGGAAAACAGGAAAACAGGTAACTAAGTTAAACAACAATAAACTTTAGGAATTAAGAAGTTCATATTATCTTCCTCTTAACATAATTTTGACCTTATGCTCTAATACCATAACTGAAACAACTGGTTATGTGTTGCTACAGGGTTTGACTGATATTGATCCGGGTCATAGCAGAATATGAAAGGTTCTCAGTCCTCTTTCATACTGAGATTAACAAGCTCATAGTCTCAAAAGCCTGGATATAGACCTTTCATAGAACCACTTCCTTCAGACCAGCACAGCACAGCCTTCCTTCGTTTCCTACTGGAGGCATAGCCATAACAACACATAATCAGTAATTCCCCTTAGAGGATCATTGCGAAAATCCAAAATATTTGTTAAGCATTAGATAATAATCCTCCCTTAACACCTAAAAAGAAATTACTCAGCCATACCTGTTCATCTTCAATACTTGCCAAGGATGAAATAATTGAACAGAATAGTTTTATTGATAGTAAGAGGGCAAGGTTACAAGGAAGGAGAGAACTCAAGTGCTCAAGGAGGCTCTAAGGTTCTCAGCTGTTGTTTTGTCTCAAAGATTACATGGCTTTATATAGAGTTGGCATTCCAACCCTGGTTACATAACCTTGGTTAATTTTAACTCTAATAATTACAAGAAAACAAAACTACTTTTTGACAAAATAAAAAAGCTAGATCTAGACTTTATAGACTTTTTGACAAAATGAAAGGCTAAAGTAATTATTACAAGAGGCATAATGGGCTTAGGCTTTCATTTTAGCTCTTAGTCTTTTTGACTTTCTCTTGTTCCATCTTCTTCAGTCTTCTTTTACTTGTCGGCAAGCTAATCCAGAATATTCATGTTGATAGAAGGGTCTTTATAATCTTTGTCTGCTTCTCTTTTTTCATCACAATATTTACATTTATGGATAACATACTCTGACAATACTTGACATATTTTCTTCTTTGTCCCTTCATTATTATCCATTAAATTATTTCTTAGTCTTTGGTACCAATTATTGAAGCTTCTTAAATTCCTGCTATTTTTTCTACTAAGAAAATACATGTTGTTGGGCCAGTGGAGTATGTTCACTGTTCTTCTTCTGCTGTAGTTGTTCTATTGAGCTCTTGAAAAATTATATGTACTTCTTGGGCTCTGATAGTGGATATCTTATATCTAAGATCTTCATCATTAATAATATCTTCTTTTTTTTCTTGTTCATACTCAAATGGTCTTCTTGTTGTCCCGAACTTAATCAAATTAATTGGAGGATAGAACTTGTCAGGAGTTATTTCTGCTATAGTTGAGTAACACCGAATAAAGACTTAATATTGGGTTACTATTCTAAAATAATGTTTGGTGGCTTCTTTGATAGATTTAGAAAGTTTAGATATGAAATGAAACAGTATGATTTAATAAAAGAAAGTAGATTTGAACATTCATCACCTACTATGATTGTAGTAAAACATAGTGAATAAAAAAGAGAAAAGTCAAGATTAGTAATAAATTATAAAAAATTAAATGAATTAGCAATAAGAAATAGATACCCAATTTCAAAAATAGATTTATTATATAACCTAATAAGAGGAAAAAATATATTTAGCAAATTTGATTGCAAATCTGGATTTTTTCAAATAAAATTAGAAGAAGAGAGTAAAAAGTATATATACTGCTTTTAGTATATCTGAAGGATTGTATGAATGGAATGTATTACCTATAAGATTTTATAATAGTCCTAGTATATTTCAAGAATATGTAACAAAATTATTATTGCTAATAAAAGATTTTGCTGTCATATATATAGATGATATTCTAACATTCTCAAAAAATAAAGAAGAACATGAAAAACATTTAGAACAATTTATAGATCTGATAGAAGAAAAAGGATTAAATATATCACCTAAAAAAGCTAAATTAAGAAAAGAAGGAATAGGATTTTTAAGACAGTACATAACTAATAATGAAATAGAATTATAAGAACATACTAGTAAGAAAATATTGGAATTTGGAGAAATTAGAAATAAAAAAGAACTTCAATCATTTTTATCATTAGTAAATCAAGCTAGAAATTATATTCTAAACTTATCAAAATTAACTACAAAAGTAAGTAAATTCACTAGAGAAAAGACAATATGGATATGGAATAACAAAAAAGAAAAAATAGTGAATCAGATAAAAGCACTATGTCAAAATTTACCTAAATTAACTATTCCAATAAATAATGATGTAATATGGATAATATATACTGATGCTAGTAAAAATTATTGGGGAGCAGCTTTATATCACATCAATGAAAAAGAAGAAGAAATAATAACTAGATATGCTAGTGGAAAATTCAATGATTCTCAAACTAGATATCATTTTAATTGGAAAGAATTTTTAGCAATAGTAAAAGCTGTACAAAAGTTTGAATTATTTATTATTAATACTAGATTTATTATAAGAACTATAATACTCAAGTAAAACATTGGTTAAATAAAGGAATAAAGACAACTCAGTTATGTAATAAAATGTTAATTAAATGGTAATTAGATATGTCTTATTATGATTATGAAATTAGATATATTAAAGGAAAAAATAATCTTGTTGTTGATTATCTGTCCAGATGGAGCCAAATAGAAGGGAGACAAATATGATGACAAGTAGTAGTGGTAGTGGTTCACCTACAGGACCAATTATGACCCCACTAGACCAAGTAATCATGAAGGTAAATATTATAGAGATGAATATGACCCTTCTTGCTGGACAAATAAATGTAAATATGCAATCATTATCTGAATCAGTAGCTCATCTCAGAGATGAGGTGAATATTTTGACATGTAAAGTGGAGGACTTAGAGAAATCTAAGGATCCATTATCCCAATCCCTTGAAAGACAAGTAAAACAAGTAATTGAGTCATCTACTTAAACTCCTGAGTCATTATTCCAGCCTCATAGGCCAAAAAAAGCCGACCCAATAATTCCTTTCACTAAAATAGTAAAAGAAGCCTAAAAATCTAAAGCCTAAATAGTGACAAAAACACCTCAAAATAGTGCATCCACTTCTACCTCTTCTAGGAGAAGAAGTCCAAGCCCAGTAACTCCACCATCCTTTAAGACCTTAGACCAGTATAATTATTTCAAACTTCTTATCAATAAGACAAACCATTTTGCCCTTCCTAATACCAGTAAAATTAAATATGTTTCTCATTATTCCTTCAACAAAGTCATTGTTTATCCAAACACTAACCCTGATCTTGTAAAAACCTTATATAGTTATGGCCTTATTCACTCTATATATCCTTCTAATGATATATCAGAAATATCTAAACTTCCTGAATCTATCAAAGAAGCCACCAACCATTATTTTAGAATAGTAACCCAATATCAAGTCTTTATTCGGTGTTACTCAACTATAGCAGAAATAACTCCTGACAAGTTCTATCCTCCAATTAATTTGATTAAGTTCGGGACAACAAGAAGACCATTTGAGTATGAACAAGAAGAAAAAGAAGATATTATTAATGATGAAGATTTTAGATATAAGATATCCACTATCAGAGCCTAAGAAGTACATATAATTTTTCAAGAGTTCAATAGAACAACTACAGCAGAAGAAGAACAGCGGACATACTCCACTGGCCCAACAACATGTATTTTCTCAGTAGAAAAAATAGTAAGAATTCAATAAGTTTCAATAATTGGTACCAAAGACTAAGAAATAATTTAATGGATAATAATGAAGGGACAAAGAAGAAAATATGTCAAGTATTGTCAGAGTATGCTATCCATAAATATAAATATTGTGATGAAAAAAGAGAAGCAGACAAAGACTATAAAGACCCTTCTATCAACATGAATATTCTAGATTAGCTTGCTGACAAGTAAAAGAAGACTGAAGAAGATGGAAGAAGATGGAACAAGAGAAAGTCAAAAAGACTAAGAGCTAAAAAGAAAGCCTAAGCCCATTATGCCTCTTGTAATAATTACTTTAGCCTTTCATTTTGTCAAAAAGTCTATAAAGTCTAGATCTAGCTTTTTTATTTTGTCAAAAAGTAGTTTTGTTTTCTTGTAATCATTAGAGTTAAAATTAACCAAGGTTATGTAACCAGGGTTGGAATGCCAACTCTATATAAAGCCATGTAATCTTTGAGACAAAACAACAGCTGAGAACCTTAGAGCCTCCTTAAGCACTTGAGTTCTCTCCTTCCTTGTAACCTTGCCCTCTTACTATCAATAAAACTATTCTGTTCAATTATTTCATCCTTGGCAAGTATTGAAGATGAACAGGTATGGCTGAGTAATTTCTTTTTAGATGTTAAGGGGGGATTATTATCTAATGCTTAACAAATATTTTGGATTTCCGCAATGATCCTCTAAGGGGAATTACTGGTTATGTGTTGTTATGGCTATGCCTCCAGTAGGAAACGAAGGAAGGCTGTGCTGTGCTGGTCTGAAGGAAGTGGTTCTATGAAAGGTCTATATCCAGGCTTTTGAGACTGTCAGCTTGTTAATCTCAGTATGAAAGAGGACTGAGAACCTTTTATATTCTGCTATGACCCGGATCAGTATCAGTCAACCCTGTAGCAACACATAACCAGCTGTTTCAGTTATGGTATCAGAGCATAAGGTCAAAATTATGTTAAGAGGAAGATAATATGAACTTCTTAATCCATAAAGTTTATTGTTGTTCAACTCAGTTACTTGTTTTCTTGTTTTCATTATCTGTATATGTGATATATATTATATTATATTATATTATCTTATGTTAGTTTTAAATTTAATTTTATATGATAGATTAAATGTAATAAATAACATAATAAGAGAGAATATCATGTCAATTTTATAATTTAAATTTATAAGATAAATTCAAATTAGATATGATATTATGGATTAAATTTATGAGATAAATTTAATTAAATCTTTGTGAGCTTTTAACTGGAAGACAAAACCCTTATATATATAGATAGGGACGTCCTTATGAAGGTAGAGAGAGAGAGAGAGTTAGAAAATTTCTAACGATAAAAACACTCTGAGAGCCACGAAACACCCTATAGAAAGGAAAATTAGAGTTCAAAGAAGAACGGACGCTGAGAACGCTAGCATGCTGTTCAAGTTAGAGAGCTGTTCGTGTGGATACCAGTAGGGGGAGCAGATCTACGTTGTCAACTCTTGAAATCCAAACATGCATCAACTTCAAAGAATTAAAAAGGTAACTCTTCTATCCATCTTGATTTAAACGAGTTCATTCAGTCCATATCAGGATAAGGACTTTAAAATTTTAATCTTCCACTACACCTCCCTATCCAACACACATATCCTCCATTAGGGCACCTTTAGCATAATGTAACATCATATATATATATATATACAAGCAAGTTTCACAAAACAATTCACTTTTTCATATTCACATACATCTATGCATCTTAGTTGGTAACTTAACTTTATAAACAACTTTATACATTCATTTCATTCAAATGGTAATTATACCATTACCAATCAAGGATACTTTTTCCTTGCTTCCTTTTCCAACCTTCTTGTGCTCTTTTAACCTGTATTCAAAAGTAACAGAGTGAGACATACGTCCCAGTAACTCAGAGGTAATCCTAATTACCAGTTAGCAAGCAAAATCATAAACAAGCGATAAAGTAGCATGTGTATCACTAAAAACAATATCATATGCATATATAGGAATTCAATCTCATCAATCTCGTTATGCTCATGCAATACATTCCTGGTTTTCCCTGGCAGAGTAATCTCTACGCCTGGACTAGGACTTTCAGCCACAACGAACAGGGCCCACTATACCACTGCTCAGACTGGGTCATTCTCTTTTCGTATGGGTAGTCTCCTAGATCTATCATGGCAGAGTCAAGTTATATGCTTTATATTATCAGGACTTCCTAGCTTTATATAAATTAGGACCACGACCCCCTACCCTAGTCTAGGATAACCTCGTGGATCATTCAATATCCTAGGTTCATTACAGTAGAGTCAAGTTCTACACTTTAGATCATTAGGATTCTTCTCCTAGGTCCATCCTGATGGAGTCAAGCTCTATGGTTTGGATCATCAAGATTTCCTGGACATCCTCATGGTAAAGCCGCGTCCCCCTACTATAATCCAGGGTATATCTTATAGATGCGATGCATGTCAATGCACGTGTCACTTTAAATTCATTTCAATTAATATTCACACACTTGCATGTATATACTTTTACAATGCTGTTACTCTATCAATTCACAATACAATGCACATAGTTATATCAAAGTACTTGCAAATAATTTCACAAACAAACAAGTACAAGGGTTACTCTAGTTGCCTTTAACCCTTGCTACTAAGGGTTGCCAATCAAACTAAAATCTCAGGGACGTAGATTCTCATGAGCAACTTTACAGGTGCTTAATCTAAACACATAAATAGTTTAATTGACTCAGTTAAACTAAATTTCTTAACACATAAACAGTTCAATTAAAATTTTTTGAATTTACTTATCCATTATTTATAGTCATTAGCCTTATAAACTATCCAAATGACCATAACAATCTCTTGATGTAACATCCAAAAACTTGAAATCTAGAAAAATTGACTAATTAAGGGATAAATTAGTTAAAAAAGATGATCAATTAATTTAATTATGTTTTTGGTTTTCTAATTAGCTTTTTGGGTCATATTTGACTCTAAATTGAGTTAGGATAGAAGTTGGATCAAGTCGGGTGGCATTGGGGGAGCAAAATTGATATTTTGCTTGCTGCATCATGAGTTGTGGCTTGTGTGATGTGCACTGAGGTGCACGGCATAGCAGGCAAATTAAATTTTTGAAAATCATCAGAAAATAATAATTTTTGTGGTGGGAAACCTAGAACATGAAGGGGCAAGCTTTGGCACTACTAGGGCATCATTTTGAGAGGATTTTAAAGATAAATTGAGCCTTTAAACTCTTGAGTAAGTTTCTTACCCTTTTCCTCTACCTTTTCATCTCATTTTCCATGGGATTTGAAAGTGGGAGAATTTGCTCTGAGTGGATTAAGTTACGAGTCTATGTTTTGAAGGTTTCTGTTGACTCTAAAGGTTTGATTTAAGTTTCTTAACCTTGGATAAGTGGTAATATAAAGTTAAATTATTGTTTGGTGAAAATTAGATTAAGCCCTAGTTTGATTATAGGGTTTTGAGGTGTGATAAGTTGAGATGTTAAGTGTTTTAATGTGATAGAGTTAGAGGAAGGCTTGAAGGGATTGTGTGAACATTTTATAATCTTAACAAGCCTCTTTGTTGAGAATGTGAGTGAGAAGTAGGAGAATTGGAATGTTATTAGTAGCTAATAGTGCTTGTGTTAATTAAAAATTAACATATAGTACTTGTTAATGTAGATTGTGGTATGGGAAGATTTTGCCTTGATACATGAAGAGATTTAATACCACGGGTAACCCTTTTAGTAACAAAAGAGTTGAGGTAATTATATAATTTGCATTATTTATTACCTTGTATAAGTTATTCTTGAGTTGTTCTTGCATGATTTGTTATATATATATGTGTGTGTGTGTGTGTGTGGTGTGTGTGTGTGTGTGTGTATGAATTTTGTAAAAGTTAACTATTTTAAAAAATGAGTGGAGTATTGATTTATAAAATGTCAAGTTTTTGAAGTAAGTAGTAATATTCATTATATTGGTTTAGCAAGTGTTTTATGCATGATCAAGTGAAGATATGTAGTGAAATGTGGCATATTAGAGGGTGGGAAGTCACCCTACTGGAGTTAGTGAAGATTAAGTCCATATGGCATTGTTGGCACCTCAGGATGCCAGGTGCAATACTTACTCTCCTTGATGCCCGAAAATGGGTGCAGTATTGGAGACTTACTCTCCTTAGTGTCTAAAAGGGTATGGAGTTGGAGAATATGCTCCTTAGCATATGTAGGATGCAGTGTTGGAGTAACAACACCCCCATTACTTGTAATAAGGGGAACCAGTAGTCCAGAAGTGGTTTAGGACACCTCAGCCAGGTAGTCCTACCATGGATGGTGAGCTTGGGGATTATACATGTGATTTGATTTTGTGAAATAGCCTACCAGTTTGGTTGGGAGTATTAGAGGATCAGATGGTTAGTGATCATGCATGAAACTTGTGGTGATTTGATATAGTGTGGTTATTTTACTTATTTTAAGGCTTGTTTATAACTTAGCATGTTAATCAATAATGTAGATTATCTTAGTTACTAAGATTTTTATCTCACCCTGTGGTTATCATTTTACAGGTTCTACCGCTGAGACTGAGCAAGGGAAGGAATCGGGCAAGGGCTCATATACTTGCTACATTATTATTGTAAAGCCTAATTTTATTTTGAGTTGTGTACATAAAATTATATGGATGATATTATATGTTACTAGCTAGGAATGCATATCATTTTAATTGGTTGCACTTATTTCATACTATGTTATTTTGTATTTTAGCCTAATATTATATATAATGTGAATATGTGGCAATTTTTATGATCATGGGCTAAAATACTAATACAAGTTCAAGGAATGTTTTATCTATATGATAACAATGTATATGTAGTGTATTATATGGCAATAGAGGCCAAATAGTGTATATAGTATTGATTTAGTATTTTGGCCATATTGAGTGAAATGGGCATTAAGTGGCCAAATTTTATGTTAGCTATTTTTTTATGTTTGAATGCTCAATCAAGTGTATTTTGGTCCATTGGACTTGGTTCAAGCCTCAAAATGGATTAACGATATAAGTTTTGAGTTTTGGGTACTCGGATGCTTGAAAATCACTTTTAAAAACTGATTTTTACATCTGAGTGTCTAAAATTCTCATACAGTATTGAATCTTAACAAAACTTATACCATTAATTAACTTGTTGAATAAGTTTCGCGTGGGTGCTTGAATCACTTCAATCAGACATCGAATGCGAAAATAACGCGTGTTTGAAGTTCGTTCAGAAAAGTTGTCATGATAGCATTGCTATCATGGGCGTGTGTGTTGTGGTGCATTTTACGCAAGCCATGGTGTATAATACAGTGAGCAGACTTTCTGTTCTGTGTCACATGCCGTGATGCATGGACCACGAGCTATGGTGCATGGACCAAAATAGTTAAAAATAACATTTTTGGCCCTGTTTTGAAGTGTTTTGCTTCCCAAAACTTTTTCATGCTTCCAATGCCTTTATAAATCATTAAGTTTTAACTCAACTTACAAATTCGAAGGGTTTTTATAGGATCCCAAATATTTGATAATTATTTTTAAAAGATTATTAATTTTAACGTTTATATCTATAATGTGAACTTAGGAGCGATCTTTGCTCCTAATTATGATTGTTTGTTATGATTATGTGATGAATTTTGGTAATGTCAAGGTGGACATTACACCTAACACATTTATTCAACCAATTTTCTTCCTTTAACCTAACTTTCTTAGGCCAAATGAGCTTAAATCTTTAAAACTCAACCACTCAACTTCATACTAGTCACAAAACCTTAGTTCTGTATTTGATATCCTCTTTTAACCCTTTCTTTTAGATTACAACACCTTAGAATCTTATGATTTAATTTCTCAACTAATGAAATTCAATGAAAAAGGGACAGTAAGTTATTAATTGAAATAGACTCTTGAGCTCTATCTATGGCTCGTCCTAACAGAAATGGCCTTTTCTTCCCCTTCAGACACATCTTCAGCCTTTTCCTTTTTGATTTCATGAGTTGATCATGTCAGTTATAAGTAATCCCTAGATGGTGTGTCGCAACACATGCAACTTCCGCCATGATGCATGGCACAGTGAGTTCAATCTCACTTGTGCTCACGTGATATGTTTCGGATTGTCTTTCTACCTTTCAATCCTATCACTACAACATCTAAACAACACAAATGATCAACTCAACATTCAAATTACAATCAACCCCTTAATTACTAATTTATCCTTGATTAGCAACTAGTTCTTAGGATTGAAATTCAGGATGTTATAGAAAGCTTGGAAATCAAAGGAGGAAGATTTAGGTACTACTAGGGCTTCAATTTGGGAGGATTTTGAAGCTAAATTAGGCCTCCAATCTCTTGAGTAAGTTTTTCATCTTTCTTTTCTACCTCTACATCTCTTTTTATTGGATTTAAGAAGTGGGTGAATTTGCTCTAAATGGATTAAACTGTGAATCTATGTTTTAAAGACTTTAAGGGAATCTAAAGGTTTGATTTAAGTTTTTTAACCTTGAATAATGGTAATATGAATCTTATTTAGTGTTTGGTGAAAGTTAGATCAAGCCCTAGCTTAATTGTGGGATTTTAAAGTGTGACAGATTGAGATATTAGTTGTTATATTGTGATAAGAGTTAGAAGGAAGCTTGTGGGGATTGTGTGAACTAATTGTAACCTTGACTATCCTCTTTGTTAAGAATATGAGTGAGAAGTGGGAGAATTGAGATGATATTGGTATCTAATAGTGCTTGTGTTAATTGAAAATTAACATATAGTACTTGTTGTAGATTGTAACATGAGAAAACTTGCTTTGGCACAAGACTAGATTTAGTACCACGGGTAACCCTTTTAGTAACAAAAGGGTTGAGGCAACTAGGTGATTTATATTATTTATTACCTTGTATAAGTCATTCTTAAATTATTCTTGTATGATTTGTTATGTATATACATATAAATTTTGTAAAAGTTAACTATTTTAGAAAATGAGTAGAGTATTGATTTATGAAATTTCATGTTTTTGAATTAAGTGGTAAGATTTATTATGTTTGTTTAGAGATTAGTTTATGCATGGTCAAGTAAAGATATGTAGTGAAATATGACTTGTTAGAGGGTGGGAGGTCACCTCAGTAGAGTTAGTGAAGATTAAATCCAATGGTACTGCTGGCACCTAGGGATGCCAGTTATAGCTCATATTTTTCCTTAATGCCCAAAAAAGGGTACGGTATTGGAGACTTACTTTACTTAGTACCCTGAAGGGTATAGAGTTGGAGACTATACTTCTTAGCATCCATAAGATGTGGTGTTGGAGTAACCACAGCCCAATTACTCGTAATTGTGGGAACTTTTAATCCAAAAGTGATTTAGGACACCTTGACCGGGTAGTCGTACCATAGATGGTGAGCTTGAGGAATATACATGTGGTTTGATTTTGTGAAATAGCCTATTGATTTTGTTAGGAGTACTGAAGGACTATATAATTAATAATCATGCATTTAAATTATGTTGATCGTATATGGTGTGTTTATTATGCTTAGTTTAAAGCTTGTTTATAACTTGGTATGTTAATCGATTATGTTGATTATCTTAGTTATTGAGATTTTTATCTCACCTCATGGTTATCATTTTACAAGTTCTGTTATTGAGTCTAAGCAAGGAAAGGAATCAGGTAAGGACTCGCATACTTGCTACATTACAATTGTAATGCCTAATTTTAATTTGAGTTGTGTACGTAAACTTACATGGATGATAACATGAGTTGTCAATTAGGAATGCATGTCATTTTGATTGATTGCACTTGTATTATGATGTGAATATGTGGTAATTTTTGTGATGATGGGCTAAAATACTAATATAAGTACAAGGAATATTTTATATATGTAGTGTATTATGTGGTAATAGAGGCCAAATGGTGTATGTGGTAATGATTGTATATTTTTGGCTATATTGGGTAAAGCTGGAATTAAGTGGTCAAATTTTATGTTTGGTATGTTTTTATATGTTTAAATGTTTACTTAGGTGTATATTAGTGTATTGGACTTGGTTTAAGCCTCAAAATGGGTTAATGATATGAGTTTTGAGTTTTGGGTACTTGGATGTTTGAAAATTATTTTAAAAACTGACTTTACATTTGAGTATCTAAAATTCTCATATGGTGTCAGATCATAACTAAACTTGTACCATTATTAGCTTATTAAATAAGCTTCATATGGGCACTTAAATCAACCCAATCGAACATCGGATAGGAAAATAGCGCATTCAAAGTTTGTTCTGAAAAGCTATCATGATAGCATTTTGCTATCATGATAGGGACACATGCATCATAATGCATTGTGCACAAGCTGTGACCCATAGTACAATGGCTAACTTAGCCTTTCTGTACCATATGTCACGGCACATGGACCACAAGTCGTGGTGCATATGCCAAAATATTCAAAATATTCAAAAATTGTATTTTTAGCCTTATTTTCAAGTGTTTTGCTTTCTAAAACTTTTCCATGCTTCTCATATCTTTATAAATAATTAAGTTTGAGTTCAAACTACTTGTTTCAAGGAGTTTTTATGAAATCCCAAATATTCTAAAATTATTTCTAAAAGATTATTAGTTTTAACTCTTCTATATTTAATGTGAGCTTATGAGCAATCATTGCTCCTAATTATCATTATTTGTTGTGACTTTGTGGTGAATGTTAGTAATATTAGGGTGGACATTACATTAGACATAATGGCTTGTGACATAATGTGTTAGTTTAAGTTTTGATGATGACAAATATAGATGAGTTAGCTATACTTATGCCCACTTGTTTCATATATAGAGTAGTTAACAATGATTATAGAACAAATACTTTAAAGTATTTTTTAATTATGAGAATAAGTATTTTAAAGTGTTTTTACTTATGTTGCTCCATATTATATGAGATTTGAAAAAATGATTTGTGTGTATAAAAGTTATTTTATACTATTATATTTTTCATTATCTTAAATTGATTCTATATCCAAGAGCGATTCATAGTATTATCTTTCACAACTTGGATATATACATATTGATACTTAGACTAATTATTTTGTTCATATCATGTAAAGTTGTCCAAAGTGAAGATGAGAGTAAGCATAAAGAGGAACAAAGTTGAAGTCATTATTTACATGCTACACTTATGATTAAAGAACATAAAGATAAAAAGAAAGATGATCTAAGAAGAGCTTAAGAAGAATGAAGACATTCATACAAGCATGGATGCACCTTGGAAGCCTTAAATTTGAGAGGTATAATATCATTAAGTTAGGAGTCTTTATGTTAAACTCATTGATTTAGATATGAAGTATTGGCTCAAGATATCTTAAATAAAAATATGCATTTTAGCTATTAAGAGAAAGAGTAAGATAGTTTTTCATAATCATAGTTTTCATCTTTAATCACATATGTCTTACAAAGTTTGAAATGTTTTGATTGTTAACTCTATAAAGTTTTTAAAATTGTTTTATTTATTTAAAATAGAGTTAAGTTAAAAAATTTATGAACATTTAAAATCTAAGCCTTGAAAAGGAAATTGTGCAGAAAAGTAGTTTTAATCTTTGGTCATGTTTCATGTCATATCTCTCACTATAAAGATTATTTTAATGTGAAACATATGTCATTTGAAAATAGATTCCAATAGATTTTCAATGATAGTTTATTTATTCAAAATAGAGTTCTATTTAGAAAGATATGAAGTTTAGAAGTTGAGTATTAAGATGTTAATTTTGCACAGCATCCACTCTTAATCTTCGTCCACTCTTTGATCATATCTCAAAATTTTCATTGAATGTGAGTGTGAAAACTTTTTCATTAAAAATTAGGCTTCAAGAGATTTCCAATGATATATAATTTGTCAAATTTTAAGTTATATTGAGTGAGTTAGGACATTATGAAGTTATGTGT